GAGCATCTTGATCAACGTGACTTTGTGCAACTCCATAGAAAGGGCAAGACTTTCCACCGTGGCCCATGTACCATATAAATCCTTGGTCAGCAAGAGTGTCGTCCTCGAAGCACTTGCCATTCCACAATTGGATTTTGTGGAAAGGCAATGACTGATGTGATTTGAGAGGCAAGGCTGACACCAGCTGTGGTCGCCAGTGCAAGTTGTGCAATGGAAGGCAGCATCTTCACATTGGCAAGTCTCACAGATCCCTGTGGCAAATTCTCTGAGTCCAAGATGACATCTAGATATGTGTCCGGTGGGTGAGATACTCTGCTATGAAGTCATTTTGTGTCTATGTCATTTATGAGAAACAATTACTAGTAAGCCACGGCCTGTTAGATAACCTTTGTTTTTCTCCCTTGCTCAGGAGCCTCTCCATCAATAGCAAAGTCACCAAACATTTCTTGGTTTAAATCATCTTCTGGGATGTCTGGTGATTCTGCATCTACTGCTCTGGCTCGTTTCCTTGGGCTGGTGGTATGCTCTGGCAAAGTTTCATACAGCGCATCAGCACAAGACTCAACCCAAGAGGGCTTTCCCTTTCTGTCTCTTGTAGGTTGGTGAGTAACATAATCAACATCCAAATCCTTTTTTTGTGATAACTTTCCTCTATCTTGGAAAGAATAAGAAATAGCCTTGAGACGCTGGCGTTTTTTTGAGGACATAGTGCTTAGACCGAAGAAAGATTCTGCCGTATGAGAAGTCAACCAATTTGATATCACAAGCTTTGTCTAATCTGGACATCTACTATTGGGAAATTACTCCCCTTCTCATTCTCTTATTTGATCTCCGAATGGCTTTTAGACCCCCCTTCTTACCTGCCCCCACTCTATTCAAAATCCCGCTGGTCCGGATACTTTGGTCTCGGTACACCAAGCCTATCATGTACTTTATCCTTGACAAAGTGGGCAATTACAATTCTCTCCCCATCGCCCCACTTCAGCACCCATGCTCCAGCACCTTTCCTAAAATGTAAACCATAGTGCCAGGGGTGTTACAAGTAACATCAGTCACATGGCCCCCCTATCATTTTCCCTTCATCTCGCCCTCACCATCTACCGGCTCGTCCTCCTTTACCGCCTTTCCGTTGACCGGATCCTCGGGACCGTTCCCGTCCCTCGCATCGCCCGCCTCTATGCACGTGCACGCACGTTCCTCCTCTGATTCGACCACCAATGTGGTCCCGCACCTCTGACTCGGTCTGACTCGTGCCACCAATGTGGCTTTCCTCTTTCTGTTTCTCCTGACTGCGGATTCCTGCACGTTGTATTCTTACCATTGGTCCGTTCCAACGTTTCTCGATCTCATTCCCATTTCGACCATCCATCACTAATCCGGCTATGTTGCCAACGCACCTATACCATTCTCGTATCCCCTTTACCCTTACCTACTGTGCGGTAGCCTTGCCCTTAACCCTCTCCACTTAGTATAAGTAGTCGGTCACCCTGTACTAGATTCTCTAACTTGAATCTACTCAATCTTCCCTGGAACATACTTCCCTCTGAAGCCCCTCAGCTTCAGTCTCTAGTATCTTTTCTTAGTCGCTCTCCGCGGCTAAGTCTACCTCGATCGACCTCATCGTCCGGACAAGACAGTCCTGACCTTGAGTGACTTTTAAGACATCCGTCTACGAAGTCACGTGACACGCGCGTACTGTGATCGCTGCCGAGTCGTCGCCAGGCTCACTTGCTATACCGGATCCTTCCGGTTACGTCACGAACGTTAGCGGACGACGCCCCTCTTAGGGCTCCGCCTAACAGATCTATTTGAGTGCGTAACAAGGGGGATATGCTAGCTCAGCACCCAGATCTGGCAGAGCTAGTATGGCATGGTGAGCTTTGCCAAGGCTCACCAAAAGGTCATAAAATGAAGGCGACGCTCCAGGGTCTCGATGACTTGGGGTCTCTCGATTGACGATAACTTCCAATCCAGAAAACTCTGAGGGCCAGACAATGGGATCCGAAGTACGAACCATATCCTTCATATTAGCAACTGATTCCACGCCGCCTGATATTGATCTGGCGCAATAACACTGGTGATAGCGGACCACAAATGTTCAGCTACCGTTATTTCGGACAACCACTCTCGGACCGCAGGTAAGAAAGAGTGCCTGATTGGTACAAGTCATCCTGAAGCCGCTAGCCCATTTAAGTTAGTTCCGTATCACAGCAAGTATATTAATATGAAGTTACCTCATGACGTTGCATGAATCCTCCGGGGCATAAGGTCACCCTTCCTACTCCAAACTCTCCCCCACCTGAAGGCATGACAAATCCTTGAGAACGCCAAGGCTGCTTTGCCTTCTGAGTTGGCTTGGGCAAAGACTGATCTAAGGCAGGTCTCAGCAATTTGATGGACTGGTTGACACGATCCTAATTATAACTGATTAAAAGAACTTAAACTGTATTAATCAGACTCGTACCATTCTATCAGGCACCATGATTTCTGGCAAATACCAAGCGAGAATCCTTCCGTGCCTGTCAACAAATGTTGCCGGCTCTGATATTGAACCGAATGAAGGACAGTGGAAATATTTTGCTAGCTTATGTCTCTGGCTGTCAGCATGTGATGGGTGGGATGCCTTGGCACTATCTGCAAACCGATCTACATCTAAATCTGCCCGCACTATGGCAACAAAATGAATGACAGACCCCCCAACCATCAAATCAACACTCACGGGGATTAACTACAGCATGGGCTATCACGACCGCAGCTCTGGTAAGTTCAATCTCCGTAATGACATTTGCCGTGACATCGCTACCAGTACTGGACAGTAAGTCCTGCCACTTGGCCCACAATCTGGTCCTAAAATTCCAGCTGTTCAGTTTTGCCGGACAGTGACATGAGACTCCCTTACCTGGCTCTTTGAAGCAAATTGTCATTGATTTTGTCACCTATCAGCAACTCATACGGCGATGAATCACGGAGTAGGTCATCTACATGCCCATGGAGGATCTTGGACAGAATTGTTACAGCAGGATCTGCCATTTGTCAGTGGTTGAAGTTTGGAAAAACAGACATTAAACGACGGAATGATAAATTTTTCAACCACAGACGATCTAGACTATAAATGGTTTTTAATTTAAGTCTTGATGTGGATGAAAAGACTTTGAAAGATCCAAATCGGGATAGCTTCTAAATTTGGGTGAAATTCAACGCCTACACTGTGAGGCTGTCGGACAGAATACACCAAGATCCCCCATTTCTTGGTGGTTGGAGTATTGAGAACAGAATTGAAATAGCAGAATGGGAAAATTTCTAACCAGGTGGTGTAGACTATATATGGTTTTTAAGGTTTTTGATTTACAACGTGCGATGCGGAGCAAAAGTGGAAGATCCAGATCAGGATAACTTCTAAACTGGACGGGGCCATACTATATGATTTGCGGCAACATACCATCCAAGCAGAGGCCTGTATTATGAAAGAAACAGATGAGAAACAGCAGTCTCAACTTAAGTTACATCTTGTCTTTTAAATTCAAGCTTTATGCTGACGGCAAGTAATAAACCAGTATGCTGCTCTGATTGTCTCTAACTGAATATCAAATCTTCAGCTTCGGCTGGATTCAGTTAGAAGACAATCAGAGTAAGGGGTGAGGCGCAATTGCTACTTGCCAAAAGCCTCATCCCTTGCTCCGATTGCCTTCTAACTGAATCCAGCCTACATGCAGCTGGTATCTCAGGTATTTCACCTGAGTTGAGGAGAAGAGCAATTGTGTCTCACCCCTTACTCCGATTGTCTGAATACCAAATCTTCAGCTGCGGCTGGATTCAGTCAAAAGAAAGACAATCAGAGTCAGGGATGAGACGCAATTGCTCTTCTCCTCAGCTCAGGTGAAATACCTGAGATACCAGCTGCATGTAGGCTGGATTCAGTTAGAAGGCAATCGGAGCAAGGGATGAGGCTTTTGGCAAGTAGCAATTGCGCCTCACCCCTTACTCTGATTGTCTTCTAACTGAATATCAAATCTTCAGCTGCGGCTGGATTCAGTTAGAAGACAATCAGAGTAAGGGATGTATCTCAGGTATTTCACCTGAGCTGAGGAGAAGAGCAATTGCGCCTCACCCCTTACTCTGATTGTCTTCTAACTGAATATCAAATCTTCAGCTGAGACTGGATTCAGTTAGAAGACAATCAGAGTAACGGACGAGGCTTTGGCAAGGCCCACAGCATGTATCTCAGGTATTTCACTTGAGTTGAGGAGAAGAGCAATTGCGTCTCACCTCTTACTCTGATTGTCTGCTAACTGAATCCAGCTGCAGCTGCATCTATTCTGTCATGTTCAAGACTAAAGGCGAGCGCACTGAGGGTACTCTCAAGCTCACCCCTATTTCAACAATATGCCGCGGTGAAAATTGGTGGACATTCTAAGTTACTGCATTTGGGGGTCACGTGACTTTTTCGCACGAACAAGGAACCTGACATCACGATTTCGTTGCAAATTAAAAAAACTAAGTTACATTTGGCATCATTGAATTGAAGAAAAAATAACAGAGCGCAAAAATCAATACAAGGCTGCCGCAGAGGGGCCCTCTCTGCGACAGTCTAGTACTGTCATAATACAGTAATAAAAAGTATGATAAAAAAAGGAATAGCTAACTATATAACATAATCTGCGAATGGCGCAATCAGTATTTGCAAAGAGAATATCAAACAGGTTACCTTTGAGTATCGGAGCAAGCCAAAAGAAACATATCTGTAAGCTGTGGTCATTGTTTTGAGAAGAGAGAGCGATGGGAAGTACCTTATGGTGGAGCAGGTGTCATCCTTCCGGAGAAAATACAATACAATAATGATGGGAGGAGGCGCACCAATGTGGACACTTAAACCTCCCAAGCGCAATGATGGTTGAAGGAGGGGCGCACCAATGTGGACACTAAATCCTCCCCAAGCCAAGCCCCCAGTACTCAATGGTAAAAAAGGGAGGAGAAGTGCGCCAATGCGCACATAGATCTCCTCCCCAAGCCAAGCCCCCAGTACTCAATGGTAAACAAAGGGAGGAGAAGTGCGCCAATGCGCACATAGATCTCCTCCCCAAGTCAAGCCCCCAGTACTCAATGGGTAAACAAAGGGAGGAGAAGTGCGCCAATGCGCACATAGATCTCCTCCCCAAGCCAAGCCCCCAGTACTCAATGATAAAAGAAGGGAGAAGTGCGCCAATGCACACATAGATCTCCCCAGTATATATAGATTGACTAGAAAGAAGGCGTTTAGTGAAGAGATTGTTGAAAAAAAAGACAGACCTTATATGTGGAGGCGCCCCAATAGCCTCCCCAGTGAATGGAAATTGACTAGAAAGAAGGCGTTTAGTGAAGAGACGGTTTAAAAAAAAGGATAGACCTTATATGTGGAGGCGCCCCAATAGCCTCCCCAGTGAATATAAATTGACTAGAAAGAAGGTGTTTAGTGAAGAGACGGTTGAACAAAAACAGACCTTGGATCTGCAGGCGCACCAATAGCCTCCTCAGTGAATAGAAATTGGCTAGAAAGAAGGTGTTCAGTGAAGAGATGGTTGAAAAGAGGCATACCTTAGGTATCCTTTCACCGGATGAACCAAAGAAGATCAACCTATACACCCAAATTAGAAATAGAATTGGAATTAAGAGACACATACCGCGCGGTAGAGAATGAGCGCTCAGTGAGTTGTGAGCCACTTACACAGCTGCAGTCTGTGTAGGTGGCTAACAAGGTGAGCGGATGGAAGAGATGTGGTTTGAAATTGAACCGTGTGAAATTGTTGCGCCTGGCTATATGTTACAACATATTTGATGTTGTTTGTCGTGGAAAATGCCGGCGTGACACGATCACATGACTGGTTGGTTTGAAAATTCGCAAAGTCCTTTGTACTGCATTGTTTGGCACGGAAAATGCCGGCGCAACCATGGACACGATCACATGACTGGTTGATTTGAAAATTCTCAAAGTCCTTTGCGCTGCAGTTGTCTTTATGCCACCTAGAAAGAAGAACACGGCAAAGAAGTCCTGTGGCGGTTCTGCCAAGAAACTTTTGGCACCTGTCGGCTCTCCTCCGGTGCCCGCTGCGTCACACGCCGAATCGTCCACGTCATCCTTGGAGCCGGAAGACACTAGGACAACTGAAGATCACAGTATAGTAAGTTTTTTTGCCTACTTCAAGTGTTTCATTGACTGACTGCGGGTCAGTGGTGTTTGATTTGTCGCGATGGCGCGGAAGGTGACGTTATACTTTTTGAATGCAACACGTGCCCCCGCGTCATGTGCAGCAAATGCATTGAGGTGCCCAAGGCCCATATTGATGACGTCCGACATACGGACGTAATATTTTTATGTCTTTCTTGTCACTCGTTGCGGACGATCAAGGAGCCCACGCCATATTTTGTGAGTCTTTCTTTATTATTCAAATTTTAAATTGATTGACTGTTCAGGGCTTCTATCATAACGTTTTGCCAGAGCAAGGAGGAACGCCTGTACTCCCAGGCTTCCTGCAGCTCAAGGGCAAGTACGAGCTGGCGTCTAGCTCCATCTTGGCAGCCACACCCCTTGCCGTCGTCCATTTTATCCTTGGTGGCAAGGACAGAATCCCGACACCTGTTCCACTCCTCTCCCATTACCTCGACAAGTTCTACCCCAGCGGCGGGTTTCTGTACATCGAGATCTTGTTCGACGTTGCTTCATATCAGCAGATCGACAACTACACCCACGACCAGGTTCGAACGGTTTCTGAGCTCACCAGTCACCTTGGTTCCACCGGTCGCGTCTTTGCGTTTCTCTCCAACCATTCGGAAGAAGACAGTGGGTGGCTCTTTGCAGGGAAGGAGGGTCAAGGTGAGGGAGAGTATGTTGCGATGGAAGTTCAGCATGTAAGTTTAAAATTTTGGACGTTTTAACATTATGAATTAATGTATCCTAGGTTCTCTCTACAGTGTTAAAGCCCTATGCTAGGATCCTCAAGTCCTCCCACATCGTCTTCCTGGTCTGCGGCTCTGTGGTGGCGCACGAGACACCCTACACTCAGCTCAAGGAGGCCGTTCTTCAATTCGACTTCGCGGGCGCAATCATCTTTCCCGCACCTCGCTTTCAACCTCTTGTCGCCACGAATTTTTTGGTTGCCATGATGGAACTTGTCGCGATTGAGCAACTCAGCATCCGCAGCATGTTTCCCACTCTCCTTAGTATGTCAGGTTGCCTCGGTCAGCACACCAGCATCATCCTGATGACTCGAGTCAACATTGAAGGTTGCTGCAAACTGGAACTGACTACATTTGCGCGCGCTCACACTCAGACTTCACCTTGGGGCCTGGATATTCCTGCACAGTGCCCCCAATGCGGCTCTACCAAGAGCTGGGCCGAGAGGGTTGCTGTGACGGTTGCTGATAAGAGTCGCGACGAGGACGCCCCAGACCGTGTCTCTGTTTGCCGGTACATCTACACATGCAAGTACACCAACTGTGGTAGCATGCAAAAGTTGCCTCCCTACAAGTTGTCCGTCACCAAGCCTCCTGGGTCAATTGTCAACAGCGCAAAGACCAAGAACTGCGCTTGGTTCCAGTCGCCTTCTACTCATTTTGTACTTCAGTCTTCAGCTGTGTCTACCCAAGGCAAGCGCATGAATGAGGGGGTGCCTACTGGGACTGCCAAGAAGGCGCGCAGGTGATTTGGGTATTTACTTGACAGTGTATGTACATAATTTGAATTGAGTTATCACTTTGTCACACGGTTGATTTGGTAACGACGCGTCTTGGTTTGCATGCATGTGATCGCGTCTCCTTCAAAATTTCAACTTTTCGGCCTGGTCTAAGGTTACGCGACGCATACCCACCCCTGCCAAAAGCTCCTGACTTATACAACGTGTCATCAATGGCTGAATGGTATGCTTCTTGGGAGGGAGTACTGACTCTCCACAAAGATCAGTTTGTAAATGGAAAGAATTCCCGTCACAATTTGCTGAGACAGATCCGCAATGAAATTGTCGCAATTCATCACACAAGAGAGGATCCCGAGGATTTACCAAAGGGATTGAAAAAGGTACTGTTCATTCTGAGTATACAATGGTGCTGACATACTTGATATATAGGCTATCCGGAGGTACTACCTCCAGTTCTTAACGGACGCTGATGATCGGCGTGATGAGCAACAGATCTTGGGAGATGACTCAGAGCTGGAGGAAGAACTTGGCATGTCCCCTGAGGACAGAGAGTTGGCGGCTCGTCCTAAGGACGCAGGGTTCTACAAGAAGGAGCTTAACGCTTGGGACGTCACACAGAAACTCTTTAAGCAGGAGATGGACGACTACGATAAGGAGCAGCAACAGAAGAAAGGCATACAACATTCTATTAAGTATAGGACTGGACATGCGAGGGAATGGTTCAACAGCATGACCTCTGCACATCGGAAGGAGGTTGAGGAGGCGAGGGACAAGTGGAATAGGGATGGCGCCCCAGCAGAATCACAGGCAATGTAAATTGTCATTTTTTGTTCAATTTCTACTCTAACTATATTGGCAGGTATCGAAAGAAAAACCTCAAAAAAGTTCTCGATGATTTTACAGAACAGATTCGTCGTACTATGGGTTGCCGACTCGTGATGTTGGTCAGTCACAAGAAAAATGCCGATCAGACTTTAAGTGTCAAGATGTGAGTATTTATACACTCTCCTCAGTGTAAACTACAGGTACTGGCATGTATAAAGGTGCTGGCCAGTCATGTAGTGCAAGTACTGGCCAGTTCAGCCAGCCTCCTGCTTGTAAAATGAGCACATGGCCTATACCCCCGGCCGGGGCTCTTATACAGCACAGTATAAGAGTCCCGGCTGGGGGCTGTGTCATGGCTGAGCTGCCCAGTACCTGCCCTGTGTGCTCGGCCAGGGCTCTTATATGATCATATATAAGAGTGCTGGCTGGAGGCTGTGTCCTGGCTAAGCTGGCCAGTACCTGTCCAATACCCCTGGCCGGGACTCTTATACAGGGATGTATAACAGTCCTGGCCGGGGGCTATGTCATGGCTGAGCTGGCCAGTACCTGCCCTGTGTGCTTGGCCGGGGCTCCTATACGACCATGTATAAAAGTGCTGGCCAGTACCTGCTCTATGTGCTCGGCCGAGGCTCTTATACGTCCATGTATACAAGTGCTGGCCGGAGGATGTGTCCTCACTGAGCTGGCCCCTGCCCTACCACAGTTGGCCAGTACTCCTATACATAGGTGTATGAGCAGGGCTGGCCAGAGGCTGGGTCCTGGTGAAGCTGGCCAGTGCCTGCCCTATGTGCTCGGCCGAGACTCCTATACGACTGTCCATAAGAGTGCTGGCCAGAGGCTGGGTCCTGCCCTACATGGCCGGCCAGCACCCTTATATGTGGTCGTATGAGCAGTGCTGGCCGAGCACTTGTATATGGAAACATCGGCCAGTCCTAGCTCTACACACTGCCTGAGTGGTCACACAGGCTACATACCTTGCGGGTTCAAGGTACACTGGCTGTGCCTACCTCTACACACCGGCCAGCCACATATCTACCTGGACAGGCCGGTACTGGCTGGGACACATTCTACAGCCTTTTGGCACATCCGGGGCACCACTTCTACGTCCAAAGTGACTGAAGGGTCTGTACCCCGAGTCATAGACTCGATTGCTGTCTCCATGTATCGACCTCCTGGCTGTGCCTCGGTTTCATTCTGAGTTCGAAAGAGGTCTCAGATGGAGCCGCCGAGAATTTCTGTAGTCTGTAGTCCCTGCCCTGTTTCACCTCTCCTATGTGTCCGAATGATCTGCTGGCATCTGAACCAACATGTCGAACACTGCACCCTTGCTCCAAGTTGTTCCACATGCATAGCATCACACAGGTTCTTGGCACGCGCTTGTGATTAGTCAGACACCAACTGCAGTTGCCAATACGACTCGGATGTGTGCTCACAAAGTGTAATCCTTTCAATGTTAGTATGTAGCGCATCCTCATACAATCACACCAGGTATGCAATCATGATCCAAGTACCACATCCAGCATCTGCCTCAAGAACGTGTCAGTCTGTTACATTTGTTTCCCTTTTTCAGGCATCGTCTACAATTCTCTGTGGCCCATGACGTCTCCCGCCCCATGCGCTGCAGGTCGTGTGCATCAGATGCTCGCGTTATCTCGAAGTCCTACTTACCTGCAGATCAGGTAATTAACGATGGGTGCATCTTGCAGTGTGATAGGCATGAACCCTAGTGATTGTCCCCGCCGCTGTTTGACGACCAGCAGGTTCCCCATCGTCCTCCTCCGAAATCCACACACCTCTGCCAATCTTTGCAGCAACAGGTTCAGGGGCCGCCTGTATTTCTGGATCCTCAAAGTACAATGTGTATTGCACATCCAGTTCCATACCTGTGTGAGGCACACACACAAAAGTGTGCCTCAAACGCCTGCGAGAGAATGTCGACCTGTCTGGGTCCCATTGTTGGACCCACAGATTGACTTCCAACTCATCCACCGCAGGTAGGCCCAGGACCCTGTCTCAGACAGGCACTTGTACCACATATGGTTGCCTGCATCCTCCCCCATAGAATAGACTGTCACAGAAACGAAAGTAACGCTGCAGTAACAATGAGGCATGCATGTGTGACAATGGATAGACTTACGGGCCAGCGAGAAACCAGTTCCTCAGACGTGAATTTCACAGACAAGTCTGATTCCTCAATGAGACTACTCGACAGCACCATGTTGTCACAGATGTACCATGATCACAGTCCATGCCCTCGTAATTGCCACGCATCTGGTCGATGCGATAGGGACACTCAGGATTCATGCAGTCCGTGTTCAGTCTCCATTCCACATCCACGTTCTCCACACATCGCCTGACCAAGTCATCCGTGTACCAGTCTACGGCAAGTCGATAAGTGTTCTCTGTTGAGTGCTTTAAATGACTTGCACAGCAATTTTTCACATTTCTTTACTTCTTCTTTTTATCTCCTCACTTTTACTCTTGACTTACAATTGCGTTTGATGGCCGCAATTTCTCTTGATCGCAGGATTGTTAAAGAGGGGGCTTTTGCTCACAGTTTGCCGCATGGTACCCTCAGGCAAGACACCGCATCGAAGAGCCAGTTCTGTGTTTGCCCCTCTTGTAAGGGCAAGATGATTCTGCCCGAAGACTACTCAGTCTTCGACATCTTGAATGTTTTCAGGTGTTGTCTCTTCATCTCCCAATCAGATTTGGTCGGGCACACAGTTATGGCTACAAAGTCAGAGATGGGGCAGTTTACCTGGTTGACTCTTCGGCCAGTTTACCATTCCATGGTTGTAAAAACTGCCCTGTGTACACTTTTTGGGGACCATTACTATCCCCGCTTGGTCAATAAGATCAAGTCTGTTTTATTTGTATATCTTCTCGAAGTAGCGAATGAGGAGGCACCTGATGCCTTCTTTGCCCTTGAGAAAGGCAGCACGACTCACAACCGTGCCAATCGTGAAAAGAAAAGGCTTGCTCGTAAGCGCTCGAGAGCAGCTAAGAGAGAACGTACACGCATTTTGGAGAAGGGTGGGCATGTGGCGGTCGCGCTTCGGCGTGATCCAACAGTGGACCCGTTGGCCTGCCCCTCCTGCGCGAAGACATTCAGATCTTGAAAGCAGCTTAAGAAACATACTTGCAAGAAGTCAGCTGAGGATCCACCCTCTGCTGCAAACATTGACTCAACAGAAGGACCTGCGGTAACTGTCCCGTCGCAGGATGTCAGTGTGGCTGTTGAAGCTGAGAGTTCTGGTTCCATCCCGGTTCTCGCTATTCCTCAGGTTCCAGAGGGACCCGTTTGGCAGGAGGCTCTTGAGAGCCACACTGCACCACACTTTGCTGTGTGGGCTCGGGAGAATGGAGTGCCCAGGGTATGTGAGGATTGTGAAGCCAATGCTGTGTCAGTCGTCTTGCATGGTAATTACAAGACGGCCTGCTACCTGAAGTGTTTCTTGCACGACAGGGGCTGCGGTTCGCGCTAGGGTTCCAATTATGATTGGTAGATTCAGTCCCTGCCTTCGCTTTGGCAAGCAGGTTGAGATGCAGACCCCGGGAGTTTATATAATATTGCAACGTCTGCTATAGTTTCATATGTCGGGGGGTACCTATGTTTATGAACATAGGCTAAGCGTAAAAACGCCCTGACAACCAGGCCGTCATCCAAACCGGTGAGAGATTCCAATCGAATTCAGGATCATATCTAGTAGATCATTTTAGTAGCAGACTGAAGCAAATCGCCAAAGACCACGAGGACTTCAAGGTATCACTGCACTGGATCCTGGGACACATGGATATCCACGGCAACGAGGAAGCGGACAAGCACACAAAGAAAGCAGCTGAGGGACGGCAGCACAACAGCCCCCGCGAGGAGTTACCAGAATATTTGCACTACAACACCCTTCCCCTCAGCATCTCGGCCCTCATAGCAGCACACCGTCAAACGACTCATGAACACTGGGGAAGACTGGCGAAAATCGCCCCGCTTCAATTGCATCAATTGCATTGATCCCAAAATACTTCACCGCTCATTCATCAAGCTAACCGCAGCCTTCCCCAAATGCCTGATGGGAGCTTATTTTGCACTCCGATCCCAGCACGCTCCTCTCAACCATCACCTCCACCGAATTGGCAAACACCCAACACCTTGCTGCCCACACTGCCCGGGAACTAATGAGACAGTCGCGCACTACCTGTTAGATTGTCCACATTATCGTGGAGAGAGACACATCCTTGTCAGCGCCTTAGGCCGGAAAGCATCCTCAATGTCCTACCTTCTAACCGAAGCAGAAGCAGTACCACATCTCACTCGGTATCTCAACACAATGGGACGCCTACGAAAGACCTTCGGTGATTTACCGCTTCCTCGCAAGCCACCAGACTGAACGATGCACGTCCCCATGAACGCAACAAACTCTCTCTCTTCTCCCTCCCATGAAACACACTGTATCAAAATGTACATCACTCACTCGCCTACACAGAACCTCACTCAACGATGCTTACAAACACATCATAAATGGCCCACACAGCTCATAGGACCATTCATGATATATCCGTTTAACAAGCCCATCATTGCATGTACAAGCTCGCCCTAGGCGACTGAGTACGCATATATAAATGTTAACTGTTAGACCCAGAATCATGACAGCACATACAAAGTCATATCTCAAGATGAGTGGCACGTCTAAAATGGCCGGCGGGAACAGCGGACTGGTGGAGGCACGCCCTACACCAGGGCATTTGTGCACTCAATATTATTACAGGGACACAGGGGGTCCTTTAGAGTAGACTAGAGAGTAATGTCCTACATAGAGTACCACTCTGCAAAGGACAGAAATTGGAATTAAAAAAAAAAAGTGTTCTCTGTCACCTTGTGCCAAAATGTCAGACATTGCTGCCCACATGCTCGCCCCAGGAACTCTGTACTTTCATGCACCACAAAGTCATCAACCCACTGCCCGATCAAGCCCAGTTTTTCCCCTGATCGCACAAGCTGACCTGTGTGGCTCTTCAGCGTCAGTCCCTGCACAAACATGTTGAAGTAGAAAGACACTAGTCCTCCCGTAGTTATCAAAATCATGTCTGCCATGGAAGGGGCATGGAGAATGACATGCATGGCATCCATATCTGGTTTGGCTGCGGACACCATGATGACTCGCATGTGGTCTTCATATTTGCAGAAGCAGCCCACTACTGGATACAAGGCCCGGTGACATTCCTTTGAGACGCAGGGAACAAGGAGAGCTCCAGTGATGAATGTGTGCAACTTTTTGAATCCTGTCGCAGCAGTCATGAGGTTTAAGTCTCGTGGGTGAGTGATTGTTTCACCCATCAACATCAGTCTTGCGCAGGATCCGGTGACAACGGTTTGTGTTTTCTGCAATACCGTCAAGAACGCGCTCTGATGCTGCCCTGTGAAAGGGATGAGGATGTGGCCGAAATGCTGGCGAGCCACGTCTCGTGCAATGACCCTCAGCACACGACAGGTCCGTGCCATTGTCATGAGGTTGGGGAGATGTAGACTCTCCAACATTATGGTCCAAACGTCTTTGCTGTGGCAATCTACGGTCATTCACAAGGAGAGCATGCTCACGGGAGAGGCACTCACAGTTCATGGGCAAAGTGAGCTCCAGTCGCATGAAACCAGTTACAGGATCCCTGCACCCACAGTGGGCTTCATGTGTCAGGAAGTTCTGACACCCAGATTGCCAAGGACTCTGACTTCATAGTGAGGCACTAAGATGAGCGAGATTGAGAGTTATAAACCCACCGAGCTAAAATTTTGTGCAGTAATGCGCCCTCTGGAGTCCGCAGCAAGACATTGTTGTGATCAAACCTTGGAGCGGATCTGGCCCTTGCAGTCTTTTCGAGGCATTGCCACAATGGGACAGGCAAGTGAAGGATCACGTGCACACTGGTAACAACAACATTGATCCGACAAAGTTCCAGAGGCAGAACTTGTCGATAATATCAGTGGTGCAAGATGTGATGGCCAAGCAATGGCAAGGAGGAACACCTAGTTTCGGCAAGCATACTGTACATTGAACAAAGAAAAGCAGCAGAGTTTACAATGATATCATACATGGACGCCGTGTCTGCTACCAGATTCTGCCAAACAACACGCCAGCTGCGCCTACCCAAAACACAGTAACTCCCAGACATCCCAATATTGTTCCGCCAGTGCCTATCCCCAGAAATTCCAAACTGGACCAAACACCGCACCCTTCCCACCACCACCGAACTCTAATCAGTGTCAAATGAGTCTGCCATCACATACCCACCCAAACCATTGTTGAACCAAACATCATTGACCAAACACTGGACCCATCACACCATCCCCCAAATCTAATTGGTGTTGAACGAGTCTGCCATCACAAAACCTTCCACCACATCATTGAAAAAAAGATGATGATGCCCTCTCACACAAGAAAAGCCATGAACTCTGTATGCATCGCGGCTGGGTAAGATTCATTCACTGCTGCATATATGAATGGACCTTTCAACCTCGCGCGATTGTTCATATCGCGGGCTATGTCTGATATGTCCATGATAGGGTATTCAATGGTCTCTGCGAAGACGCATGTGAAATGGCGAAAGGTGGAGAAATGGAATGAGGGTGTGGTGCTCTGTTCTGTACAAAGAGTTATATCAGCAAGTTCACTCATGTCTTGCGAACTTACGTAACACAAGATAAAGGCCTGGAAGTTCACAGTTTACGTGAGCCATGATGAGTTGACTGTGTAAGAGTATGAAGTCCAGCCATTGTATTGAGTTTGGTGGTTGCGGATATGGGTGTATGATCGAGCAGACTTCCGGCAATGATATGTTCTCACAAGCCACACACATGATCGTTCTTCCCAGTTTGTATGGTCTCGAATCGGATATTGATGCTATGCTCATCATCAAACAATGTCCTTGTGAGGCGAGTCAGCTTCGTGTCGTCAGCGCAATTGTGTGAAGTGCTTACAGTTATCATACTTTCAAATTAACCCAGTCTCACTGTCAGCACAACGATCGAGAATAGAGTTTCACTTGGATCCCACATCAAATCAATCATGCCAAGCTGATCAAAATTTATTTGTGCCTCCTTATTACAAAACTGGCTGAATGACGGTACCATAGACTGAGCTGCATGCCTGATTTGCATTTTGGATATGCGAGAGGCACATCAGGCAATATGCATGCTACTGAGGGGTGTAAGCACGCCGCTTTCATCAGAGACCATGAGGATGAATTCGCACCTTTGCAGCAAGAGTGTGACCAGACCAATATCCTGCTCTGTGATGTTCACCAGAGAGCCTCGACGTTCCTTGACGATAAGCAGATTTCCATCGAAGGAGACCTGTGTAACCATGGGAGGCGCAATGCAGTTCACGAGCATGTTATGCGGTGGGTTGTTAGTGTGGTCTTCAAAGAAGAACATGTAAACAATCTCCTGCGGAACCGCAAAGTCCGGCTGGGGGACAAATTGTTGTTGCAAGGCAGCCCGGGATGCAGTTGTTGCGCTGAAGGTGTGTTGGTGCACCCAATAGTTGACTTTGAGTTCCTCCAGTGTGCCACAGGTGGAGATGCCATCCTGAACTGGCACGGGAACCAAATATGGACGCGTATAGCCCGTCGCATAGAGCAACCCTTGATAAATCCGCCTGTAGCGCTGGCGACAACATCTGGTCAGATGGGAGAGCGGGGGTTCCATGACTGACTCACCGGAGAGTGATTTGTGATCCCAACTGCCAGTTGCTTGATGTCTGCGTGGTATTGAGGCATGAAAAGAGGAGGTATGTCTTCATTAGCAAATGTGGCCTGCAGGCGATAACGACAGCGCCTGTTGATGCAATCCATGTCCAGCCTCCACTCTGTGTCATTGTGACTTAGGAACAATTTGAATCCGTAGCGAGAGTCCCATTGCACCGTGAGGTACCAGGAATGGTTTGCAACTCTTCACCAAAGAGTGGGGCAGGAGGCACCCTGAGCACTGCAGAGGAATGACGTGTGGCGATGAATGTCCATAGTAAATCAGCTCACAGTGCCAAGTGACTGGTTGGGCGCAATCAATCTCCCGTTCTGGCTGCACACGGTGAACCGATTGAGTGTGAGTTCAGGGTAGAAAGTAGTCAGACCTCCACACAACATAAACATCATGTCAGCTGTGGTTGGACCATTGAGGACCACATGGAGTGCATCAACGCCCATGCACGCCTCGGACACTGTGATGATGTGTCCGCCTGCATGGTAACGGCGAAACTTGCCAACGTGCAAGGCCAAGGTGGCATGCAGAGTCACAGGGATCGGCTGAAAACCCATAGTGTTCACGATGAAAACTTCAATCAGCGGTAGGCGGGCGTGAGGGACCACAATATTGAGGTCCCTTGGAGCCAATCGTGGGATCAGCGTCCCACCATGCCCAAGGAGCATCTCAAGAGCACAGGAGCCCATGATGATACCTCTCACACTATGTAGTACCCCATGGAAATGCGCACAATGGGTGCTGGTGAAAGCACCGAGGATGTTGTCAAAATGCTGTTGTATTTCGTGAGTCACCTCAAGTCGCAGGCCAGAGGTCGTCTGAGACAATGTGTGAAGGTCAGATAGAGGAATCTGGTCTGCCAGGGCCCGTCTGGCATCTTGATTTGCGAAGCCTGGATCCACTTAGTCAGGCAAACTTGTCAGCACAGGAACACGTACATCTTTGCATGCTCGAGGTGGACACAGATCTTGCCATCATGGACTCTCTGCAGGCACTCCCTTCCCCCCCGCCCTGCCGCCTTTTGAACACCCACATCTGGGGGAAGCCGAAAAATTTGAGACTCTGTGTCATGGTGTAGCACTTGAGCTTGTGCTAGGCTCATATTCAGCTATTTTCCCATGCATGTCAAACACACGAATCACTTCCCAATGTTATCCGACACTCACCCACTCAATCCGATGTTTATCCACTAAACCCAATGCTAGTCTGATGGACCTGATGTTTCCCGCGCATCGGACCCAATATTTTCCCGCGCATTTGTCCTCCCTATGTCCTGTCCTGTCATATCTATCCCCACTAGGTGCGCAGTTATTCATTTTCACGTCGCTAACATTGTAGAACGTGTTATTACATGTCCACAGTACATCATGTCTTATTACATAGGACATCGGACCCGAAAATCAGCGCTACTACTTTCGCCTATAGCACTCCAAAATTCTACATAGACACTATATATTTCGCATACCTCCTACCTATTTACTTTACCTTTCTACCTCCGAGTAGGAGGAGGTCATCCGATATTCATAGTTCTTAGTTGGATTCCGCAATATCATCCTTTCTTTATCCAAAACATCTGACAGTAACCCACCATTCGCTATCCCCGACATTCTCTATATTCCCAATGCAAACCCAACGCTAACCCGACGCAACCCAAGGCAAACCTGCTAACCCAAAACCCGAAAACATTGGACTCGTAATTATACCTTCGGACTTTGTTTTCAATGCTTCGGACTATCTTCCTTTTGTTATAACTGATTATTCTAATACCATACAGCAAACCCCTTGGGTCGAACACACTTGTCTTGCAAGTATAGCAGACTAGGCTGTGCATGACCACAACACTTTTTATATTGCTAAACACTTACTTCATGTAGTGTCCAGCAATTGTTGTATCTCTACAACAGCCATGTTCGGCGAGTCGAGACCCTTCCCGATCAATGAAACCTTCCACGGCGAACGTGCTGGCATATGTTTGAGTCAGTCTGCAGTCGGATCGGCAAATCAGGAGCTCACAGCAACATCACCCAACCATGCTGAGGGAGATGCGGATGAGCCCAAGAAAGGTCATGGTGGATGTGGTCATATACAACCGGCCATTAGGAAAGAAGGCTTGAAGCTTTTCGTCCAATACAAAAGACCCAAAGATGAGAATGAGGTCGGTATATGGCAGCATCACTGAATGCTGTTACTGACTGGTTTTCAGGATGTGAAATCGATGCAGCCTGACAAGTGGCTGATCACTCCATCTGGGGTTTACATGATGTTCAAGAAGATGTCGGACTCCGACCTTCATCTCATAGGTCTTTTGGATGAGTACGCTTGTCCTGAGTGGATGATTCGCACGTCAACTGGTGCTCAAGGCATACACAAGTAGATGCACCATGCGTTCCCCACAATTGAACAACTGAGCCGCCCCGGCTCTCCTGCTGGCATTCAGCACCATCGACGCATCAGCATCAAACACCGGGCGACCCCCCTCTACCTGACCGTTGTATTGCCAGACGGAGCCTGATTCATTGGTTAAGCGTGCGTTGTAATGATAACCGTTGACGTAAATTAAACCTCGGAGCTCATATAAGACAGATCCGGCTGCGCAGGGCACAGTGAGCACCATGGAGGGAATCAAGGCAGGCAGAGACACCTGTATGACCTCAAATGAAACGATGGGGGGCGGTACATCAAAAAAGACGTGAGCCTGCAATGCTGTGCCACATCCCTCGCAAATCCCATGCAGTCGGGACTGACACACTTGTTGTTGTGCCTGTAAGAAAAGGTTCATCCAGGCCTGTGTTGATATGGAGGAGGCAGCAGGATTGCCAGTACAGGATTGGACAGCAATGTTGGTCCAGGCATGATGGTCGCATATGGTAGGGAGGCTGTCTGGGCAACTCTGGGGAGCGTGGAAAGGGACAGACAGATGTCCGCCACTCATGCACTCCACCAAATAGTGAGGATGGTCACATATTACAGTGACCTATCTCCGTATAATACGAGGGAACGGACGTGCATAATATCCCGTATGATACGGGCCAGTGGACCATGGGCCCATGATAAAAATATCCTCGACTATGATGGATGGGCCGGGAGGCAAATTATTCCCGATGGAGGCGGGTGGGCCCATGCAGGGAATATATAGAGTAGATGAGTGGGCTGATGTACATGAATATTAGGTAGATGGGTGGGCCGAGGTAGTTGGATATTATGCAGATGGGTGTATTAAGGTAGATGTGTATGAGATAGATGGGTAGGTACTTGTTATCACATTCACGGGTGGCCCAGACACATATTAAATTAGACGGGTGGGCCTGAGGGTATTATAAAATATTGTATTAGACGGTTGGGCCCAGACACATTTATAGACGGGTGGGCTGAGGGTGTAATCGTAGGGATGTTGTATTAGACGGTGGGCCGAGGGTGGTATAAAATATAGATGGGTGGGCCCATGTGTATCATAATTGTAGACATGATGGAGCTGAGGTAGTTGTACATCAACCAAATCAGAGGAGGTAATAAATCAAAGTTACCGAGTTCCCGGAGCAGCAGGTGATCTCCCTGACATGGCCTTTGATGGTGCACAGGTTGTCTTGCAAAATTTGGAATCCGGGGTGCGAAGCTTGTGTTGCCCTACGAGAAGCCAAGTTCCGATTATCAACCTTTGGGTCAACCAGTACTCAGAGGAGGTAATAAATCAAAGTTACCGAGTTCCTGGAGCAGCAGGTGATCTCCTGACATGGCCTTTGATGGTGCACAGGTTGTCTTGCAGAATTTAGGAATCCGGGGTGCGAAGCTTGTGTTGCCCTATGAGATGCCAAGTTCCAACCACCCAAATTTGGGTCAACCGTACCAACTTCCGAGTTCCGGGACCTGGGAGTTGACAAATGAATATCTGATAACCAGCACACTTCCAATCAGGTAGTATTTCATTGAGCAATGGATCATCCAAGGGGTCCCTTATCGGACTCGGTAGTCAATATAGGCAAATGATAATGAAAACATGAAAGTTGTTATTATGCTATTTTTCAAACCCGAGACCCTGAAACCCATTGTTCAACATGTCCATTTTTCACTCACTGCACAAATCACCGAGTTTCGAGTGCCGAAACCCAAATCTCGAAACCCAGTGTGCAACACGTCGATTGTTCATTTACATTACACAGATCATCGAGTTCCGAGTGCTGAGTGCTGACACCCGAAGCCCAAAACCCAAAAATATGTATGGAACATGTCCATTTCTTACTCATTGCACATACCACCGAGTTTCGAGTGCCGAAACCCAAAACTCGAAACCCAGTGTGCATCATGTCCATTGTTCAATTATATTACACAAGTCATCGAGTTCCGAGTTCTGAGAGCCGAAATCCGAACCCCGAACCCCGAAAATATGTGCGCAACATGTCCATTTTTCACTTGTTGCACAAATCACCAAGTTTCGAGTGCCAAAGCATGAAACTTGAAACCCAGTGTGCAACATGTTGATTTTTCATTTATATCACACAAATAACCAAGTGCCAAGTGCCAAGTGCCGAGACCCGAAGCCTGAGACCCGAAAATATGTATGCAACATTTCCATTTTTCACTTGTTGCACAAATCACTGAGTTTCAAGTGGCAAAACCCGAAACTCAAAACTGGGTGTGCAGAATGTTCATTGTTCATTTACATTACACAGATCATCGAGTTCCGAGTGCCAAGTGCCGAAACCCGAAGCCTGAGACCCGAAAATATGTACACAACATTTCCATTTTTCACTTGTTGCACAAATCACTGAGTTTCAAGTGCTGAAACCCAAAACTCAAAACCTGGTGTGCAACATGTTCATTGTTCATTTACATTACACAGATCATCGAGTTCTGAGTGCCGAGGGCCGAGACCCGAACCCCGAAAATATGTGCGCAACATGTCCATTTTTCACTTGTTGCACAAATCACCAAGTTTTGAGTGCCAAAACCTGAAACTCGAAACCCAGCGTGCAACATGTCCATTTTTCATTTATATTACACAAATCATTGAGTTCCGAGTGCCGAGGGCCGAGACCCAAAAATATGTATGCAACATTTCCTTTTTTCACTTGTTGCACAAATCACTGAGTTTCAAGTGCCGAAACCTGAAACTCAAAACCGGGTGTGCAACATGTCCATTGTTCAATTATATTACACAAGTCATTGAGTTCCGAGTTCCGAGGGCCAAAACCCAAACTTCGAAAATATGTGCACAACATGTCCATTTTTCACTCACTGCACAAATCACCAAGTTTCGAGTGCCAAAACCCGAAACTCAATCCCCAGTGTGCAACATGTCCATTTTTCATTTACATTACACAGATCATCGAGTTCCGAGTGCCGAGGGCCGAGACCCGAAGCCCGAAACCCAAAATCATGTACACAACATGTCCATTTTTCACTTGTTGCACAAATCACCAAGTGTCGAGTGTCGAAACCTGAAACCCAGTACTTCACATGGACATGAATTGTATTTGTATGTATTATCCATTGGTGTAGGGTTCAAATAACTTGGTAATTGTATTTGTCAGTACTCGGTACTTGGTACTCGGTGATCAGTGGTCGGTACTCGAGACTCGGTAGTCAATATAGGCAAATGATAATGAAAAATGACAGTTGTAGTCCACGTCAAGGTGAGTGTCTTGGTAGTCTTTCCTTGTCATTCAGCAAAACATCAGCAATAATGAAAAAATAAAAGTTGTTATTATGCTTAACTTCCTTACCGAAGGTTGTAGTCCAAGTCCAGGTGAGTGTAGTGGTAGTCTTTTCTTGTCAATTGGTTATCTTGTTACTCATTATGCAGTACTCAGTACATGGTAATTGGTACTCAGTATTTGGTTTTGATACTCAGTACCTGGGAATCAGTAGTCAGCTTAATGAAGGTTGTAGTCCGAGTCTAGGTGAGTTTATTTGTAGTCTTTTTTCATTTATTGGTTACCATGTGACCGAGATATAAGCTGAAGAAATCCGAAACATCAATAATGACAAATGAAATACATGTGTGCAGTAAGTGAGTGTAAAGATAAAAGAATGAATATTAATAGCGAGACTTGCACATTATGTCGAGATATCCAACATAACAAGCCTGTAATGTGATGAGAGACCTGGAATAACACCCATATACATCCATTATAATAGCTTAAAAGCCTAGAAAGATTCATGAAGGATTGATTTAATGATAGGCAAAATGACATATGTGTGGAGAGTGTCTTTTATACAAAGTCACATTTATATATGATTCAGGCCGAAAATATCATTACAAATATGTAGGATAGATCGTAAACTACCCAAGGAACCCATACTGCCTACTGCCCTGAGGGTAGGGGGTGGGTAGAAGGGATATAGTGAAAATATGAGTTGACCCAGCATTAAAGTCCTACCACTGCTCAACTAACCATTTTCGATGCTTTGGGTCTTTGAAGTTTCCCACACTCAATTTCTTACCCATTTCACTTCCTCAGTACTCAATTCTTGGTTGATTTGTCTGTAAATTTATGTCTATGATACTTAAGATATTTGAAATGTACCCCAGGTTTCTGATTACGAAGATTCAATGTTTTGAAGGCATGGGCCCCTTATCAGGCAAAATGGCAAGTATACACACTAGCTCACAAACTCCAGCCAACCAAGACCCAAGTTCCAAACCTGACTACCGAATACCAAGTATCAGTACTCGGGACTCAGGACTATTGGCTGGAGTACCCAACTATTGATTCCCAGGTACCGAGAATTAGAACCAAGTACCGAGTACCTGACTACTGATTCTCGGGTACCAAGTATCAGAACCGAGTACCGAGTACCTGACTACTGATTCTCGGGTATCGAGTATCAGAACCAAATACCGAGTACTGATTCCCTTGTACCGAGTACCGAGTAACGAGATTGCCAATTGACAAGAAAAAACTACCAATACACTCACCTTGGCTCGGACTACAACTTTTGTTCAGGAACTTAAACATAATAATAACTTTCATTTTTCATTATCGCCGATGTTTCAGATTTCTTTAGCTTATATCTCGGTTAAATGATAACTGATGGACAAGAAAAGACTACCAATACACTCCCCTAGACTCGGACTACAACCTTCGGTAAGGAAGTTAAGCGTAATAACAACTTTCATTTTTCATTATCATTTGCCTATATTGACTACCAACCACCAACTACCAACTACCAACTACCGAGCACTGACAAATACAATTCCCAAGTTATTTCAACCCTACACCAATGGATAATACATACAAAGACAGAATTCATGTCCATTTGAAGTACTGTGTTTCGGGTTTCGGCACTCGACACTTGGTGATTTGTGCAATGAGTAGATGGGCATGTGGCATACATGTTTTTGGG